TAGGTGAATAGCCGGGAAGCCTGTGAGAACATGTGACACTATGACATAGATTAAAGGACACACACACAATGACGGTTGAGAGGCGGGACCAAAGAGCCATAGCTCAACCCCAGCAAGTACAACTAGGTGAGTACACACGCACACAGACACACAAGTCAAACACGACTACAAGCAACACTCCACCACACATGCACAGTGCCAGCCACAACAACAGCAGTTATCACACCTAAGAAACATGCACATGTAATCACGGTAACAGTGGAGGCAGACACCGTATAACCTATGAAAATCTTGCACTGTATCAGTATATACGCAATGTGCCCAACCATTTCTGGTCCAGCCTGGGAATGGAACCCGAGTGTGAGCCGAGAACGAAGCCATCTCTACTACGAACTCGTATTTCGCTACAAGCAAAGTAAATATATATATGATGACAGTACAAGATGTGTAGAACTAAGATCATACACAGATTACTGCCCAGTAATATATATAGTATTGGAAATTAATTTAAGAATTAAGAAAATTACTCACCTGCAATGTATAATAATTATATATGGTAATTAACATAAGATGCAGTGGAAGAAGTTTGTTGCTAAGTTTTATTATAATAAGGTGCCCATATACGTTGTGAAAGGTAAGGTTAAGTGTACATTGAAGTGTGATTAAGACTTTTTGTGTTATTACTCACAGGATGAGTGTGTGTGTGGGTGTACAAGAACTACCACTCACAAGATGAGCGTGTGGGGGGGGGGGTGTACAAGAACTACCACTCACAGGATGAGCGTGTGGGGGGGGGGTGTACAAGAACTACCATTCACAGGATGAGTGTGTGGGGGGTGTACAAGAGCTACCACTCACAGGATGAGTGTGTAGGGGTGTACAAGAGCTACCACTCACAGGATGAGTGTATGTGGGTGTACAAGAACTACCACTCACAGGATGAGTGTGTGTGGGGTGTATAAGAGCTACCACTCACAGGATGAGTGTGTGTGGGGGGTGTACAAGAGCTACCACTCACAGGATGAGTGTGTGGGGTGTACAAGAGCTACCACTCACAGGATGAGTGTGTGGGGGGGTGTACAAGAGCTACCACTCACAGGATGAGTGTATGTGGGTGTACAAGAACTACCACTCACAGGATGAGTGTATGTGGGTGTACAAGAGCTACCACTCACAGGATGAGTGTGGGGCGCACAATAAAATAGTCACCGCTGGCAACACTAACAAAGAGAACGGTATAGGGGTAACTATTTTTAGTGTACACATTATTGAGATCAACAACAGTGATATCAAGCCTGTTTCTACTGATTTTGGCGCGTCGGTCTCTTTTATGTACAGTTGGGTTATTCTTCATTACAACTGAGCATTCCGGGTTCGAATCCCGTGCAGGACCGAAATGATTGAGCGCATTTCCTATCACCTAATGTACCTGTTCACCTAGCAGTAAATATGTACCATGAGTTGGACTATTGCGGGGTTGCAGCTTGCGAAGGGTCGGTAATTAGATCCTGGGGAGAAGGACCTTGTTATAAGCCTAACATGTATATATATATATATATATATATATATATATATATATATATATATATATATATATATATATATATATATATATATATATATACACTGGCTACCTTGTCCCCCGACAAAATGAATTATATATATTGAATATACCCACCCAACTGTCAATAGTCACCTTACACATGGGTATGTTCTATGATAAGATCAGAAAGATTTGCCAGCTCATTCCCCCACGTACAGTCCCAACCCACCAATGAGAATAGTGCAAAATTGTCCAGACTTATCGACTGGATAAAGCCTCGCCTCTTGAATCGAATTGAGAATGGTCCAGGACGGACCGAAACGTTGTCGTCCCTTCACCTTCTAGTGTGTGGGTCTGGTCAACATACTTCAGCCACGTTGACCAGACCATTCACAATCGACTTGAGAATGGTTCAGGACGGACCGAAACGTGGTCGTCCCTTCACCTTCTAGTGTGTGGTCTGGTCAACATACTTCAGCCACGTTATTGTGACTCCTCGTCTCCCTCGCCTCATTCTGCATGGAATATATACTATCACCAATTTGTATTCCCTTCCCTCTACCCCTGAAAATGTTAATGTGAAACGTGTCGTTTTAACGCCACGTCCAATAGCCAAATAAACTTTGGAGAGTTCATTTTTCGACTTGCTTCCCAAGGGAAGAATAACGAGAGATAACGACAAGAGAGAAGGTGGAGGTGGAAGCGGGTGACCTACACTAGTGGCAAGTGTGGGAAGCGGCGCGTGGTGCGATACAATGTCAAGGTCCCATCAACCTTGACATTGTGTGTATGTGACGTTTGGCATTGGCACGTGACTACCTGATGTTGACAGTGGCCGTCCAGTGTCGTCAGTGACCTCCATCTACTGTGCCAGACTGTTTCACAACCGACAAATGACCTTCCGCAACTGTCCATAACCGTCAATGACCTTTCCCTGTTCTCACTGGCTATCTACCACTGACAGTGACCACTGGCTATCATCAAATGTCCTCCTGCTATCGTATCTAAGTGCTATCACTAAAACAAAAGTAGCAGGAGCATTGTCATCACCATGCAGTGCCACAAGTCCTCCTCTTAGTCGAGCGACTCACCGTAACTTACACAACACTCATACTGTGTCATTAATGTACATAAATTAGCTCAGTACCCAGTAGACGAACTAATATATAACACTCATAACCTGTTCCCAAAGCTTGATGTACGAAACCACTCCAATGCTGATGGCCATTAACTACCTTAAATTTCGTAACTTGAATCCATTAGCCAGCCATGGACGGATCCTCAGTCCTCGCTGTTGGCTGGCGAGCAAGCGACCCTGCTGCTTCCTGATCATCTATGTTGTTGTGGCCAGCAGCGGCCACTGTCATCAGAAGGTATAATAATCATCACCTCTACCAAGTGAGACAACAACGACACTTTCCTGCTCTCATGGGAGATCACTCCTTTCCAAATTATTGTCCCCCCTTTCCCACCTCCAAGAAGCTGATTAAAGAACAAGCCTTGCTTCGACAAGAGGCAAAGTTCAGTACCTTAAGCCAAATTGATGCTTTAGTCAGAGAGCGCTCCCTTTTCCAGATTATTTACACTGATAGCTCCTTGCACCAGTCCCATGGTGCAGCTGGAAGTGCAGTTGTTGTGACAGGGAGAGATGGTTCCTGCTCCCATGAGTGTGGAGCGCGTCTAAGTAACTGGGCCTCCACTCTTCAAACAGAATTGGTTGCCATAATCCTTGCACTCGAGCGCGTATATGAATCCAACGTTGACACGCTAATTGTAAGTGACTCCTTGTCATCCTTGACTGCCCTCAGCTCCCCAAGGCATAACTGTGACGTGCTTATCTCTGAAGCTGCACACAGATATAATGAAATAATCAATGATGGAGTCAGAATCTGTCTCCTGTGGATTCCTTCCCATATTGGTCTCCGAATGCATGATAGAACTGATGAGTTGGCCAAGACTTTTGCTCGTAAAGAGGGAATTGATTACCAACTTGGACTGCCTTTGAGCAATCTGAGGGCAGTAATATTCCGGGAACATCAACTAAATTTCGGAGACTTGAGGCAAAGTGAAATTCACACCAGTTCCTCCATCTTTCATCATTCTCTTATGCAGGAAGTACCGCACGTCTATGGGTCATCCAATAATGTTAGCAGACTTCTAGATGTTACCACTGCTAGGCTTAGGCTCGGCTACAAGTACCTCTGGCAGTTTGTAACATCTGCTGATGTAGATTTGACTAAATGTAAACTGTCAGCAGAACTATTCGCATACTTTGCGTCATTATATACTGGAATGTGAAAAAATCGTAGAATTCAGAGATAACACCATCAATGGCGTCCACGAAATGTGTGAGTATTTCACTCATAATGATGTGCTGCCCGCAATCTTAGCGAAGTATCCAAAATTTGCTTACTGTAGGTAATGCATGCACATGACTGTAAAGCTGCCGCCCAGTTGGGTGGGTGTGCAGCAAGATTAATAACTGTGTGACTCATCATAGATGTAAAGTGCCTTGTATAGTGACTGTTGTGAGCCTCTTGTTGAATCACTTGTGATACAAAAAATTATTGATGTGTGTATTTGTGTAGATGATTGTATATGTATGTGTATGTATATATGTATATGTATGCCAACAAGCCTAAATGTGCCGACCGAGTGCCGGCGGGAGGATGGAAATAGCCTCGGCTACCATCCTCTTTTGTCCGGTCGTGTTGGTCGGGTGGCTAAGGTGTCCTGTACGCCAGCAGAGTGCTCCTGGCAGTATGGGTTCGAGTCACTTCTGGGGTGTGAGTTTTCAGTTGCATGTATATGTATATATATGTATATGTATGTATATAACTAACTGATTTTCTCGTTATAAGTATTATGCCAGCCTTTGGTTTGTGAGTAAGTCAACTGATAATGTAAGCTGTCCTTAAGAGTTGTTCTGTATACTGTAAATGAACATTAAATTCTTGTCTCTCCTTTCTTCTCTGCATTCTTTTCACTAATGCCGAAGCATTAGTAGCAGAAACGGGGCCATCAGTAGGACTTAAAATACAATAGCAAGTTCACAGACATAACTATACGGAGTTGACATATCAACATCAGGATCAGAAACATCTACATCAAGATACAAACAAAACTGGCGACACAAGTCACACCAGCAGGTAGACGAAGTCGAAATAATACACAGATGATGCACCTGTCTCAACCCGCTGTCACAGGTGTTGTTGTGCCTCCCTCTCGCTGTCCCCACCTCCCAGAATCCCCCACCCCCTCCCACCTCCAGATACACCACCACCAAGGGAGGTTCTCACTCGTTCCCACAGATCTGGCACATTGTGCTGCTCGCTGGCCCAGAGTGATCACTGAGTCTCCTCGGCCTGGTGCTGTGGACGCCTGTTCTGCTCCGGTGATGTCCTGGGTGTAGCCAGCGTTGAAATACCGCCCCTCGATGCTGATGATCGCTCTGCACGTCTTCGTCAGGCTCATCGAAGTTAGCTGAGGTTTATCTCTGTGTTATCTCTTCGTTCCAAGTCTTCTTTATCCGAGAACACAGAAGAAAAGACTTGCGTCTCCCAGCTACATACATCACCCCTTCACAAGGTAACTGCCTGAGGTGTAATTGTGCTTTATCTTAATTATTATGTAAATGAAACTAATAATTGCATTGCTGAACATTTCCGTGTTAAATGACATATAGTAAGTGAAATGTGGTGTGATCCCACGCTGGTCCGTGGGATCACCAGATCCCACACATGAGGGCAATACTATGAATGTAATACTACACTCATTGTAATACTACAATACGGAGGGTGTAATACCACACCCTCCGGTCAGGTCACTACGACCTTGACTCAAGACTGTGCGGATCATCCGTCTTATGGCAGAATATATTTACAAGATAAGTGACGTCTTTAAGCGGTGTTTGTAATAATATGTCATTTAAACATTGTTTCGACGATTTTGTCAGAGAGCAAAAATTTGGTTGGAAAATAATCACAAAATATATTTTTCTTGTTGGTAAGCTTATGGATGATACAAGTTACAACTAAACTATTTAATCTCTAGCAATGTGGGTCTTGTCTTCATCTATATATTATTTACTGTAATCAAAGTTAGATACGAACGACAAAACACTTACTAAATATGTTGACCAAACCACACACTGGAAAGTGAAGGGACGACGACGTTTCGGTCCGTCCTGGACCATTCTCAAGTCGATTGTGTCACAATTCTCAAGTCACACAATCGACTTGAGAATGGTCCAGGACGGACCAAAAGGTCGTCGTCCCTTCACTTTCTAGTGTGTGGTTTGGTCAACATACTTCAGCCACGTTATTGTGACTCCTCGCCTGCAATTACTAAATATCACTGTTCATTAGTCACTCATACTGTACGTTGGAATGGTGGAGGTAGCCGCACCTTATTGTGGCCAGCATGTTATAAAACAATACCTTCATATTTACACTGATACGAGCCACCAAATACGCCCTGTTCGCGGAAAAGAAATCTATTTCATATAGTCACTTGTCGTATCTTTCATTTGGTAATATATCCTTTGATGGCGGGGCTGTAATGAACATTCTGTGGACTTTGTATAGTAACCCACACCAGTCACATCTCTCCTGTGTTGGAGAGTCTGGATGAGTGGAACTTACGTGAATGTTTTAAACGTTCCAAACCGCCAACACCAAAACCCAATTCCGCCAACAAAATGTTTTTTAATCCGCCAACAAAAAAATTCCAGTGCCTGTGTGTCGCAGGCTTCGATCCTAGTTTTGACAATGTGCCAGTTGATTAGGATTGAGTAACGATTTACTCACTGTGATTTCTGCAGTTCCGAAAGTTTGCCAGCTGGTCGTCTTCTGGGAGCTGTGGTCTGTAGCCTATGCAATATGATGCTCTGAGACGTCCTAATGAACACCGAGGATGAGAGTGGCTTATTATTTTGTTTGTAACGTATTTCGCGTTCGTTATTATATTAATAAATAAAGTAAATCAAATCAAATAAACCTCTGATAACAACTACTTACTTCTAAATTACAGGTCTGTGACGCCATCGCTGCCACCATGGAGGGACCTCATCCAAGCCTAATTCTTCAGCTAGTTTTTCTGCTGGTACTGCTCGGCGCCCACTGTACCCTCTCTAGAAGGGAAAACAGACAGCAGGATGGAGAAAATTACGTAGAAAATCAAAGACGAGGTTTTGAAAGCCCCGTGAAGGAATGGAAGAACAAGAGAGGAGGAAAAGGAGACTCAGAAACAGAGACGCAGCCGCTTAGTGTACACAGACGGAGGAACTGGGACGATGGCAGAGCACAGCAGCTAGAGGCACATGCAGGAAAGCCTCCCAAGCCGGACGGTTTGGGAAAGAGAGAGCGCAATACCAAAGCGAGAGAGACGATACAAAATACGAAAGAAAACGCTAGAGAGAAAAATATAGCTTTTATGGGCGGAGAAACGCAATCCAAGAGGAATGCAAATGTTAAGAAAATAAATGGAGGAAATATCCCAGGGAGCGAAGCGAGAAGAAGGAATACTAAAGTGCATAAAACCAAAAGTCAAACATATAAAGTAAGAAAAAGGCTGGAAGATGATCATAATAGAAACAAGAAGTTAAGGAAGAAAAAATTCCCCAAAAAGGCCGAGTCAGAAAAGAATTATTACAAGAAACATAGAACAGGCGACAGCCGACGTAGTAAATCTACAAATACATTAAAGAATGTGCAAAAAACTGGAAAGAAAACTAACAAGAAAACTAGAAACAAGAACACTTTTGACGAGGAGGAGGAGAGAAAGAATAGAGTGCATAGAACGGGTGGGAAGACAGCATACGAACACGGAAGTAAGGAAGTTGAAGATATCGCAAGAACTGAGAAGCAAGCCAAGGGAGAGCCACGAAGCGAGGAAGAGTCACCGGAGAGAAAGCAACGGAAGAATAAGAAAAAGAATAACTCTAGAAAAATTGCAAATAATCGAAGAAAAGCAGGCAAATGGGGAAGAAAAAAACATCCAAACCAAAAAACGAGAGGCCACTTAAAAGATCATATTAATAAAATTAAAAGTCAAACTAAAAAATGGATGACCAGGAGGAAGTCAAAGTCAAGAACCGACGCGGCAGCAAGCGGTCGCCATCGCCAAACGGATATTCAAGCCAAAAACATTGGAAATTATCAAAATCAAACCCTAAAGCAGACAAGAACTCTAATAACCGATAGAAAACACCAAGAAAGACCCCGGGGCCAAACTCGAGGGTTCGACTATCCTAGTAAGTATTTTAAACTTTATACACGTATGCTATGTGTTAATTAATGAAACGATTAACTTGCTAAGCATTCATTAACGATAAAATAACCACATACATAAAAGAACAAATAATTACAAACTAAGGTAATACATTATATCCAGGGTAATTGTTGGATATACTAGCATACTCATTTAAATTTTTAACATTGACTAGGCTACACGTTTTATACGTGAAAGGCAATTCCATACCAGCTTAATTTACTAAATATAATAGTATACCTATGCCGGCGTTGAGTCACAATAACGTGGCTGAAGTATGTTGACTAAACCACACACTAGAAAGTGAAGGGACGACGATGTTTCGGTCCGTCCTGGACCATTCTCAAGTCGATTGTGAGAATGACTTGAATCGGTCATTCAAGTCATCAAGCCTGGACCACAATCGACTTGAGAATGGTCCAGGACGGACCGAAACGTCGTCGTCCCTTCACTTTCTAGTGTGTGGTCTGGTCAAAATAGTATACCTAGTTAATCAAAAGATCCCACGACGAGCGTCTGACCTGTACAGCATAGCAATGATGGTTTATATTTATCCCCTTCAGTGTACCGCCTGTCAACCTGCAAGATGACCCACACTCTCACAGCCAATGAGCCTTTCCTCCTTACCTCCGACTCCTCCAGATTCGCCAGAAGCTGCTTCAACACCTTCAAGGTAATTCAGTCCTTAAACCCGCTTAATTAAGGAAGACATTTAACCTGATTATATCCTAGACTGTTGGTGGAGTGACTGAGTGGAAGTTGGTCGCTTAGAGACAGATATTCAGGCTCATATTCCGTGATGATGGGCCGCTTAAAGACTGATATTATGGCCCATACTTCCTGATATGGGGAGTTAGGTTCTCGCATTCCCTTGCGGTCACTATATCTAGCAGCTTTTATCAGATTAATAAGGGACGGAAAGCCGACTTACAAGCGATTGACCTTGGATTCGAATCCCGATCAGAGTGAAACACTTGGGCACGGTCTCTTCAGCCCGTCCTCATAAACATAAACACTTTGTAGGACCACTGCCCTTCCATAAGAATGCTTGTGGGTTATAGGTAAAAACTTGGACTGGCTTCAGTAGGGGCTTCCAGACTTCCTGTGATTTCAGTAGAAATCCGGTTTGTAAGACTTAAAAATTAGCAGTGGTCTAGGTTATCTTGAGGTGATTTCGGGGCTTAGCGTCCCCGCGACCCGGTCCTCGACCAGGCCTCCTTTTTGTTACACACCCCCAGGAAGCAGCCCGTAGCAGCTGTCTAACTCTCAGGTACCTATTTACTGCTTAGTGAACAGGAGCAACAGGGTGAAAGTGGCACTAGTGGTAGAGTACGTGACTGGCTGGCTGTTATGGTGCTAAGAAGTCCTTGAATTTCTTTATTTCTTGTAGGGTCAGGTATTCCAAATAGGCGATTTAAACCTATGTCTATCCATATAGATATTTATAGTGGATTTTTTATGATTCCATTGTTAGTGTTAAGTATTTTTACAGACGATCTATTAATTAAGTTCAGACACAGTTTTAAGTGGAAGTTTTTGATTAATTATTTAATTATTGGTGCCGAATAATCATTCCTACAGACTTAAACCAAAATGTAGATGGCATCCAGATATAACAACGTGTTACTTCCCAGAATTGTTGGTTGTCATTCTGCACCTATTTTGTTTACCATCACTTTGCTGTTAGTTAGGTTAGGTAATCACCTCCCCCAAATACAACCATCTCTCCTTTGTCTTTGCCCAACCACTTCGCATGAGGGTAGAGCGACGGTCTCGCTTCATGCAGGTCGGCGTTCAATCCCCGATCGTCCAAGTGGTTGGGCACCATTCCTTTCCTCTCGTCCCATCCCAAATCCTGATCCTGATACCTTCCAAGTGCTATATAGTAGTAATGGCTTCGTGCTTTCCGCGACGGGAGACATCTCCCGTCACGCAGAGTGCAGTCGCACCTCCACAGATCTCCAGTATTAGCTATTGATACTGGTAATGGCTCAAAAGGGCCACCACTTACGGGCTATTCATGCCCGTGCCACCTCTTGGGTGGCTTAATCTTTATCAATCAATCAATCAATGCTTTGATAACTCCCTCCCTCCGTCTCTCACACAGGGTCCACCGGGGTCAAGACTCACATTCTCCTGTCCGGTGTTTGCTCTGGGCTCGAAGGGCTGCAAGGCTGAGAGGATCCAAATCAAGGAACCCGGCAAAAAGTAAGTCAGTACTTTCTCTCTTAGACAAACACTTAAGGTTCTACAGGATTATTAAAATTCACGCTGCACCTTACAGGCTAAAAGCTGTTCTCTTCAGCTAATTGGAAGACTTACCATAAGAATGAATTTCTATATTGTGGTGATATAGCTGTAGCCTATATTTTAATGTAAACATACATTAGGTGCAGGGTGAACTTTGAGCCATCAATAGACTTTCCTATGATCAATTGACTTGAATTCTTTAACATCAGTTGGGTGTGCGAGTATATTGCACCTACGAGTTAGGCTGGGAATGAATGATTCTTGATGAATTGATGTTCTTGAGAAGGATACAATCAGAATGAAACAGTTGCTCAACATCGTGTGTTATTATATATGATTTTTGTTTGTCTATAAAGTTAGGCCAGGTGGGGATACTTGGAAGTTAATTTCTCCGGTGCTAGGCTTAAAACCTATTGCAGGCGATAAGAACATAAGAACATAAGAACAAAGGTAACTGCAGAAGGCCTATTGGCCCATACGAGGCAGCTCCTATTCTATAACCACCCAATCCCACTCATATACTTGTCCAACCCGTGCTTGAAACAATCGAGGGACCCCACCTCCACAATGTTACGCGGCAATTGGTTCCACAAATCAACAACCCTGTTACTGAACCAGTATTTACCCAAGTCTTTCCTAAATCTAAACTTATCCAATTTATATCCATTGTTTCGTGTTCTGTCCTGTGTTGATACTTTTAATACCCTATTAATATCCCCCCGGTTATGTCCATTCATCCACTTGTAAACCTCTATCATGTCACCCCTAACTCTTCGCCTTTCCAGTGAATGCAACTTAAGCTTTGTTAATCTTTCTTCATATGAAAGATTTCTAATTTGGGGAATTAACTTAGTCATCCTACGCTGGACACGTTCAAGTGAATTTATATCCATTCTATAATATGGCGACCAAAACTGAACTGCATAATCTAAATGGGGCCTAACTAGAGCAAGATATAGCTTGAGAACCACACCAGGTGTCTTGTTACTAACGCTGCGATTAATAAATCCAAGTGTCCGATTTGCCTTATTACGAACATTTATGCATTGATCCTTTTGTTTTAAATTCTTACTAATCATAACTCCCAGATCCCTTTCGCAATCCGACTTCGCAATCACAACACCATCTAGCTCGTATCTTGTAACTCTATCATAAGAACATAAGAACATAAGAACAAAGGTAACTGCAGAAGGCCTATTGGCCCATACGAGGCAGCTCCTATTCTATAACCACCCAATCCCACTCATATACTTGTCCAACCCGTGCTTGAAACAATCGAGGGACCCCACCTCCACAATGTTACGCGGCAATTGGTTCCACAAATCAACAACCCTGTTACTGAACCAGTATTTACCCAAGTCTTTCCTAAATCTAAACTTATCCAATTTATATCCATTGTTTCGTGTTCTGTCCTGTGTTGATACTTTTAATACCCTATTAATATCCCCCCGGTTATGTCCATTCATCCACTTGTAAACCTCTATCATGTCACCCCTAACTCTTCGCCTTTCCAGTGAATGCAACTTAAGCTTTGTTAATCTTTCTTCATATGAAAGATTTCTAATTTGGGGAATTAACTTAGTCATCCTACGCTGGACACGTTCAAGTGAATTTATATCCATTCTATAATATGGCGACCAAAACTGAACTGCATAATCTAAATGGGGCCTAACTAGAGCAAGATATAGCTTGAGAACCACACCAGGTGTCTTGTTACTAACGCTGCGATTAATAAATCCAAGTGTCCGATTTGCCTTATTACGAACATTTATGCATTGATCCTTTTGTTTTAAATTCTTACTAATCATAACTCCCAGATCCCTTTCGCAATCCGACTTCGCAATCACAACACCATCTAGCTCGTATCTTGTAACTCTATCATCATTACCTAACCTCAGAACTTTACATTTATCAGCATTAAACTGCATCTGCCAATCCTTTGACCATTTCAAAACCCTATCTAGATCAACTTGAAGTGATAGTGAGTCCTCCTCCGAATTAATTTCCCTACCGATTTTCGTATCATCGGCAAATTTGCAAATGTTGCTACTCAAACCTGAATCTAAATCATTTATATATATTATAAACAACAGAGGTCCCAGGACAGAGCCTTGAGGCACTCCACTTACAACATTTTCCCACTCTGACTTGATTCCATTTATACTAACTCTCTGTTTCCTTTGGTATAGCCATGCCCTAATCCAGCTTAATATAGCACCCCCAATACCATGAGACTCTATTTTTTTAATCAGTCTTTCATGTGGCACTGTATCAAAAGCTTTGCTAAAGTCAAGGTATACAACATCGCAATCCTTACCACTATCAACTGCCTCAACAATGCTAGAATAAAAAGATAACAAATTTGTTAAACATGAACGGCCATTTATAAAACCATGTTGCGACTCAATTATTAATTTATGTTTTTCAAGATGAAGACGAATTTTATTTGCTATTATAGATTCGAGTAACTTTCCCACAATAGACGTTAGGCTAATTGGTCGATAGTTAGACGCAAGTGATCTATCTCCTTTCTTAAAAACTGGTATCACATTAGCAACTTTCCAAAACTCTGGCACTCTGCCTGACTCTATTGATTTATTAAATATGGTTGACAGTGGGTCACAAAGCTCCTCTTTGCATTCTTTAAGCACCCTAGCAAACACTTCATCCGGCCCTGGGGATTTGTTTGGTTTGAGTTTTACTATTTGTTTAAGAACATCCTCCCTGGTAACTGCTAAACTCGTCAACCTGTCCTCGTCCCCACCCACATAGACTTGTTCGGCTGAAGGCATATTGTTAAGTTCCTCTTTAGTAAATACAGATACAAAATATTTATTAAAAATACTACTCATCTCTTCATCACTATCTGTTATTTGACCTGTCTCAGTTTTTAATGGACCTATCCTTTCCCTAGTCTTAGTACGATATAACTGAAAAAAACCTTTAGGATTTGTCTTTGCTTGCCCTGCTATGCGAACTTCATAGTTTCTTTTTGCTTTCCTTATCTCTTTTTTAACATTTCTAACCAGTTGTACGAATTCCTGTTCTAAAGTGACCTCCCCATTTTTAATCCTTTTGTACCAAGCTCTCTTTTTACCTATAAGGTTCTTCAAATTCTTTGTTATCCACTTTGGGTCATTAGTATACGATCTATTCAATTTGTATGGTATACTACGTTCCTGTGCTTTGTTTAGAATATTCTTAAATAAGTTATATATTGAATCCACATCGAAATCCCCATTTAAGTCACCTATCGCTGGGTTCATGTCTCGCTCCAAGACCGGCCCACACCCCATACCCAAGCCTTTCCAATCAATTTGACCCAAAAAATTTCTTAGGCTATTAAAATCAGCTTTTCGAAAATCTGGCACTTTAACAGAATTTTCTCCTACTGGTCTATTCCATTCTATGCTAAATCTGATTTCTTTGTGATCACTGCTCCCTAGCTCACTCCCTATTTCGATGTCATTAATTTGCGTTTCCCTGTTAGTTAACACTAAATCTAAAATATTATTTTCCCGTGTTGGTTCCTTAATGTGTTGCGTAAGAAAGCAATCGTCAATTAATTCTAGAAAATCTTCTGCTTCACTATTCCCTGTTTTGTTCAACCAGTTTATTCCGCTAAAATTAAAGTCACCCATGACATAAATACTGTTAGATCTAGATGCTCTAGATATTTCATCCCATAGATGCTTTGCTTCCATTCTGTCTAAATTTGGTGGCCTATATATTACTCCTATTATAATATTATTAGCTTTTTCGTTTAATTCAATCCAAATAGTTTCTGTGTGTGGCTCTGTTTTGATTCCCTCTTTGAGACTACATTTCAAATTGTCCCTAACATATATGGCTACTCCACCTCCTCGTCTAATATATCTATCTGTGTGAAATAGTTTAAATCCATATATTTGATATTCAGCTAATAGTTCTCTATTTTCTACATTCATCCACGTTTCGGTAAGTGCAATAATATCTATTTTTTCTGTGCAGACAAGAGCATTTAATTCGTTAATTTTATTTCTTAGACTTCTACTGTTAGTGTAATATACCCTAAGTGAATTGTTATTTTGCGGACCTTCTCTTTCCCTGATCGTTTTGCCAATTCCTTTCTCCCACAAACACATACTTTTATTACCTCCTTCCTCCAAATCAATTCCCATACCTCTATCTACTAACAGTTTAAACCCAAACAAACACCTCTAACCACTTCTTCTAGCGAGTTCGCAACAGCAACAACCCCAGCTCTCGATAGATGCACCCCATCACGAGCATACAATTCATTTCTTCCATAGAAGTGTTCCCAGTTGTCTATGAAAGATATTGCATTTGATTTGCAATATCTTTCCAGCCGGCAATTGACACCAAGTGCCCTCGATATCCATTCATTTCCCACTCCCTTTCTTGGAAGAATGCCACATATGATCGGGATTCCTCCCTTGCTCCTAACTAACTCTATGGCTGTTTTATACCTCTGAATCAGTTCCTCACTCCTGACTCGACCAACATCATTTCCTCCCACGCTAATGCAAATAATGGGATTGTTCCCATTACCAGCCATAATATCATTCATGTTGTTTATAATATCACCAATGCCAGCTCCGGGATAGCAAACCCTTAACCTGTTCCCCCTATCTCTAGCACAAAACGTTCTATCCAAATACCTTATCTGGGAATCTCCCACAACTAATGTTTGCTTAGGTACTTCCTTCATCATCATTACCTAACCTCAGAACTTTACATTTATCAGCATTAAACTGCATCTGCCAATCCTTTGACCATTTCAAAACCCTATCTAGATCAACTTGAAGTGATAGTGAGTCCTCCTCCGAATTAATTTCCCTACCGATTTTCGTATCATCGGCAAATTTGCAAATGTTGCTACTCAAACCTGAATCTAAATCATTTATATATATTATAAACAACAGAGGTCCCAGGACAGAGCCTTGAGGCACTCCACT